ATTGTTACGAATTGGTTACTAATTTTTTAGTTAGGTTTGACTCCGAATTTTTGACTTTGGATTGCCAGGCTGACGGACCTCATAATATTATAAAGGATGATCTTTGTCTATCTGAATATAAAATACTAATACTAATATCAATTATTAATACTTTTTGTTTAATAATGTCACGGTATATTTCTAGTCACCGGAGCTCCGTCATCGGAGTCACCGGAGCTCACACGCCGCATAAATGCAGATGATAATATTATATAACGTGCACGACTCCTATGGATCTTTCTTGTCACATGACAATTATTTGTTAATTGTTAGTTTTTTTAGCGGCAGGGGGAAAACAATTTAAAACAATTAAAAACAAAAAAACCATGAAAATGGAAACGAACTTGTATATTTTATTGGATATAAGTTCCTATTACAAATTCATATCAATACTAGTTATACCTAGTTAAAATTATATTTATCAAAGTTGCATTTACATAACTTAAAATATATTTTAATACTATTTAATTTTTCTATCTTTTTGCTATTTATGATTTATATGTTGTATATTATGACCAAATGTTTAATAATTTACCAACCTTTCAATATAAACAATGCAGGATTCAAAAAAAATAATCTATTTAAAAATGTTACTCAAATATAATATTTTATTATACTTGTATACAATTGTTTTGATTTACATGTCCTGTATTTCATTTATATTTACATATTATTTATTAATTTCCTTTTATAAGTACAAGTCTACCTAACTATTAGGTCAGATGTGTTATTGATTTTAATATAATATAAAATTTGTTTTTTTCTGGTTTTTTAAATTGAAGAAATTTGTCAACTCTTGTACTTGGTTCATAATTTTACAAAGATTGAAAGACGGAAGCGAAGTTTTTAAATAATGACCATCGATGATGGATAGAGAAAGTTTCTTATTTATTCACATCCCGGGCATCGAGGGCCGAATTTGGTAGATGTAAAAAAAATGGGGAAAAGGCAGTTTGGGACACATTGTTTGTCTTTATTATGACATGTTAATTTCGTATTTTATTTTATTTTCATTTTACTGTACCTAAATAAATATCATACAAGGCGAGTTTCCACATATTGCTTAACACGTTAACCTACAAGGGGCAATGTGCGAGTTTAATGTTCGATTCGAGGTCGTCCAACTCGTTTTCTCCGTTCGGTTTATTTTATTTTCCATAATAAATTATGAGGGTATAAGCTATACAGTGTACGGGTACATAATAAAATATACTATTTTCCGTAGGCATTTGATTGTAGACCGTAGACGGGATAACGCACTATAATATATTATAGCCCACTGTTGAAAACTCAACAATACATTTATATTAGAGTAATTAATGCATCGTTATTTTATCGTACATTTATGCCCTATCGTTGCACACACTAGTTGCAGCGTGCGGTGCTCACAATGGGATTAGACTTGACCCTTGTCGACCCACTTCTACCCTCCCACCACACAGACGGCCACAAATCCCACCTCCCACCCACTCATTACCACGTCACATTACCATCCCAGACTTATCTGTAAGTCTATACATATGTTCACACAACACGCTCCCGTCATCTCACGAACGAAGGTTCACGTTAAGAGTTACGGCTATAATTAATTCTGTTTAGAATACCATTTTATGTAAGTATTATAATCCAAAACAGAAACGACATAAAAACTTCACGGCGTATCATTTTATAGTATAAATTAATATATTCTATTTAAACTCGTTATGTCGACCATCACTGAAGATATCATCGGTTACCTCGGTCACCATCACAAGAAAAACATTTAATTACAACCGAGATACATAATTAATGACAAACAGCATATAAATGGTGCCTATACAGGTATCTAATATCGGCAATATAATATTAAATTATAATGTTATCGTGCGTCCGTCGACCGTAATCGTCCGTGTCGATTGTCTCTTCATCGCCGCAGTGACGAACACAAATAATTATTACGATTTACTAAAATCGGTTTTCGCCAGAAAGTAATGATGATTAAAATATAAAACAATTCGAGTGAATAATATTTTTGAAATCGAGGTAATTCGAGGAAATTCGGGTAACCTTTATAATAAAAAAAATCAAGGTAGGCCATTCGAGGATCAGATGGGCAAGTATGGTTCAGTATAGGCAATATATAAAGTATATGCGAGTGTGTATTAAAGAATTATTAGTATCACTTGGGTTGGATGCATTTTCGTTAATTTTCTGGAATGCTATTAACACGATGCTTGTCAAGATACAAATGTGTTTCAAGTACACCACCGATCGATCTAATTATACGATAATGCTTCTGAATTTACTATTATTTCTACTTGATTTCGATCTGATATTTTAGACTGCAGTCATATATTTTAAGATTACTGATTTCAATTCGAATAATAATATAATAATAATAATTTAATTCAATACTTGAAATTTCTTAAATTTTTAAATATTCGAAAATGAAGTTCATAGGAGTTTGGGAACAAAATTGGAAATTTAGACTTATTTACTAATTATCGATCTTAAATATTTACTCATAAACATAATAACGAATTCAAACCAGTTGTCAAATTCTTATCGAATTATAATGTTGATTGGCAAGGCCGTAACAGAAAAGGGTTCCGAACCCCCCTCAAAATTTTTAAAAGTAGGATGATTTTAGGCTCGAATATTATTTATTGCCAGAAATGTTATTAGATTTTATTATTAACCATTAGGTAAGTATAATACAATAGTAGAAAAATCTTACGCTTATAAACGAGCAATAGAATGACCTTTATTTTACACGATTTCCAAATACGTAAACACAAACACACACACACACACACACACACACACACACACACACACACACCCGTACATACCAAACATCCCTCTTACTATTACAAATAAACCTACAACAACATACTGTCGAGCAACGTCATAGCGGGGGTTATTGAACCCTTATCTCTACAAAAAACACAGGCAACCGGTCTCACCAGACGCGTTCCTTGCCCGTAGAAGCAGGTTATCGACCCCACGGGTTTATTGTACACCATGTATTATTTTATTATACCGTATTCAATATAATATACTCAATACTCATTCCACCTAAAATCACTACTTTCCCCTACCGCGTATTTCCCTCCTACTACAGATAGATTTATTACATATATACATATTATATCAACACAAATTAAAAAAAAACCCTCGTCTAAGCTTCGTTGTTTGTTTTCTTAACGTGCGCTGTTACCTTAGTTGTCCACGCTCATAATTTTCGCAAAAAAATGTTCGATTTCTATTCGATTTTTTTTTAATCAGAAACTGTTTGTTTACCCACTCCTAACTATTGCTCGATTTTTGTTAATAATTTACCAGCATCAATTCAAAATAAAGCTTGGAGGTTTTTGTTCCATTGCTACAGAAATGTATTTCTTATGTTTAACCGAAGTTGTTATTTTAAGTTGTCTTTATAATAAGGCTAGGACAAAATAAGCGTAACGGTCTACATGAGTACACAATCACCACTAAACGAAACAATATCTTAACATGTAATCGAAACGATTATATCTTAATGATGGGTATTCCCAAATATATACATTATAGAGTTCTAAAGTACGAAATATAGATCGTCCGGATTAGCGATGACCGGATTAGCGAGACTCTACTGTACTATTATCTAGCTTTTATTATGTTCTGTGGATGATATATCTATGATGGATAACACAGGAATAATGAATCGTTATTTAAACTTCGGACACAAATTTCTTCAAACAACATTTACTGTATTATTTAGATAAGATAATTTATGTAGAATTTAATACTTCAATTAAAATACATATTTTTGGAGCGGTTAATTTTAATATTGGAGTGGCTAAGCCCCTCCAAGTCCCTACCCTCCAATTTCACCTATTTCACTTGGAACATTAGGGCATATGACTATAAGATACGATTTTGGTCTTTTTTAGTAATTACTATAATTAGTATTATGCTTTTCATCAAACAATCATTTTTATTATTTTTCAAAATGTCATTCACTTCACTATTATAGAAGGTCTGTGGTATATTATATTATAATATTATTTAGAAATTACATTTTAATGAGACGATGATTAAAATATAATGACTACAAGATAATATTGATTGTACTTTGTACATACCATTGTTGTTTAGTTAATCAGATATAACATATTATACGTATTGTACAAATTCCGAATCCCCACTTAACTATATTGTAAATACGATAATATTATCCATGAGTCACCACCACCAACCATGTATCTAATGTGCTGAGAATTATCAATTTAGTTTAGTTTGCTTTTGACATCTAGGCACAACACATCTCCTACTTCTCGTCTCTTATATTTTGTAAGTACATACATTTAAAATAATTTAAATTGTTCGTATTGTTAGTTTCTGAGTATTATAATTTACTATTTAGGTATAATATTATTTTTAACATATTTTCTTGTAATACATTAGTAGGTATACTTAATAATTTTGTCTCTAGTTCAAACGACCGATAACTATTTTTTAAATTGTGTTACTTGGGTATTTCAGAACTTTGTATGTGATATTTAACTCCTAAAAAATATTTTTTTTTTTTTTGGTCTGGAGCCCTGCTGAAAATGGCCATTAGCTATTATGGGAGTTACGGCTTATAACGGTTACGGGATAGGTTTCTGCACATAATTTCAATGTGATACATTTTTCTCTATGTTTATAGAAAATACATTTTGACATTTGTAAAACCTAGTTTATTTAGTACTGTTCCAAATTAATTTACATAATTTATCACAGTAAAAACGCAGTTTATAGGACAAAAAAAAAAAAAATACGAAAATTGTATTTCCCACAAAACATTTAAAAGGGGCGAAATAGTTTTAATTTTTTTTAAAGTTAAAATTGGACTACTAGAAGTATGTTTATTTTTTGTCAGCTAATTGGTTTACTATACATTGTAGTGGAGTTGTCATCTAGGGTGAAGAATTAGTATCAATTACTAATCATTAATAATGGACATTGTAAACAATGGACCCACTGCAGGAAGCCCTTTGACACCAGATTCACGATGTTCAATTTGTTTGGATGATTTTACCAATAAATGTTATACAAATGCATGTATGCATTTGTTCTGTTTTGAATGTTTACAACGATGGTCAGATGTAAGTTTATTTAAACCTTAATAATTATTAATTGTTAAATTTATGTAACCATATTGTATAAAAGATGTCTTATAAATAGATATAAATTGACTTCTACTATACGGTTTAAGTTGGGAAACATATTGTTCTTTTCTAACTAAACGTATGAAAGTTAAGTCAATTTTATTTGTTTAGACGTTTACTTTATATATGACTACCATATTTTATTTTAATGAACATTGAAATAAAACATAGGTAATTTAAATTTGTACAATAGGGTCCAATAATAGTTTAAAAACTAAGATGACTGAACCTAAGTTTAACTTCAGAAAAAATGTCGTACTTGTTGTTTGAAATCTTACTTAGTACATTCCAAAAAAAAACTAATATAATTTATATAAAAACGGTTAATTAAACGGTCTTAATTAAATCGGTTATGTTTTTATATATTTATTATTTAGTCTGAACCAACTTGTCCATTATGTAAGAAAACGTTTAATTATATTTATCATTCATTTGGTGATCTGGGCGTCCATGAGACATACACTATTCCTATAATAGACAGACAACCATGGTAAGAAACACGGTAATACATAATATTGTTATATTATAATGTTTAAGTGTACAATAGTTTTATTTCAATGTTTGTTTTTCAAGTCCAATTCCAAGAAGTCCTAGAAGTCCAAGTCCACATATTAGTGAAATAACAAATGGTAACAGACCTAGTTTTGAATCTGAATATGGTAATTTACCTGGAATATCATTTCAATCTCAAGTAGGAAGAGGTTCATTAGATGGACCAATCGACAGGTAAGAAAATTATTGTTTATAAATTGTAGGTATTTAAAGGTGTATAATTTTATTTTTTTATTTAATTGGATTGATATAATTTATTTAAGGAGACGAAGAACATCTAGTTTTGAATCTGAATATGTTGATTTACCTCGAATTTCATATCAATCTCAAATAGAAAGAGGTTTATCAGATCCACCAATCGACAGGTAAGAAAATTATTGTTTATTAACTGTAGGTATACATATATAAATGTGTATAATTTTATTTTTCATTTTAATTGGATTGATATTATTTATTTAAGGAGAAGAAGAACATCTAGTTTTGAATTTGAATATGGTGACTTACCTTGAATATAATTTCAATCTCATGTAGGAAGAGGTTCATTACATCGACCAATCACCAGGTAAGAAAATTATTTTTATAAATTGTAGGTATGTAGTATTTCCCAGAAGTCCCCATCACCCTTAGTATCTCTCTGGAAAGTAAATATATTTAAATACAGTTTTTTTTTACAGTAATAAGTATGGAATTGTAAAGCATAATATTCGATTTCTTTTTTTCAAAAATTAGAAAATTATCAAAAATTTTTTTAGGCAAATACATTGTTTAAAATTCCAAGATAGCCATTTTGTTGATCATATTTATAAACAGTTCAAAAAAAAAAATATTAAAAATTTAATGGAAATCGCCCAAATTAGAACTAATTCTTATTTTGAATTTCTGAGAATAATAGTTTTTTTACCTATATGCATACAACATAAACATAAACATTTATATTGCATACAACATACATTAACAAAATACAATTCGCTTGCTTTAATCAGCAATTGGAACGTCAATATTTTTTAAGACAATCTTCTCTAATTATTAGTGAAAGCTTTCAGTTATAAGATTAAAAACTTAAATTGTCAATTTTCAATTTTTTTAGATTTATTTTCTATAAATATCAATAAAAATGTATTTGTAGGGTAAAAAAGAGTGGAAATGTAACGCAAGGCGCCTGATATATTTTTACAATAGCAGTTGAAAAACATTGAAAATACATAGGCACAATTTTTTTTTTATAATCATTTAAAGTTCAAATTTTGACAAAATATATCAAATTTAAATTTAATAATTATTTTCAGTTAAAAATGTATAAAATTTTCAACTTTTATAGCTAATTAAAAATTTAAAACAATGCTCCACTTAAATAGGTTATATATAAATTACTTCATCACCTTAATAATATCAAATATACTTCGTAATATCATAGGCTGACTAACCGTCTCCGCTCAGAATCGTTTTTCTTATACAATGATATTTTGTTATTGAATTTAAATTTAACACCATCCATTACAGTGACCCACTTGTAACCTACTGTACAGGTTACCATCCATTGCCCACCTCTGTAATAACTGATATTTTGTATGTCAACATTCATAATAATTCCAATAAAAATAATTATTTTTTCATTTTAATAATAAAATACCTATTTAAATCTGCAGAATGAATGCATACCTAATTAAAGTTTTAATTCTAATAGAAATAAAAAATAACGGTAGCTGTGTATTATCGTTTACTGAACAGTAAGTAGTGATACTGGTTACCTATTTTTAAGTATTTTAATTATCATAAAGTGAACCTAAAATTACGTATGGTCTATGGATTTTATCTTAGATATTTTATTATTAAAATGAAAAAACAATTATTTTTTTTGGAATTATTATGAATTTTGACATACAAAATATCAGTTATAAAAAAATTTTAATTTTAATCTTATAGCTGAACGATTTCATTAATAATTAGATAAGATTGTCATAAAAAAACATCAATTTTTGATTAAAACATCCAAATTGTATTTTGCTAATGCCGTATGCATATAGGTAACAAAACTATTATCTCATAAATTCAAAATAAGAATTAGCTGTTATTTGGGCGATTTTCATTAAATTAAAATTTTTTTTTTTTTGAACTGTTTTAAAAAACAAGATCAACAAAATGGCTATCATGGAAATTTAAAAAACTTATTTTCCTAAAAAAAAGTGTCTGTTAATTTTTGAATTTTTTAAAAAAAAAAACGTATATTATGCCTTTCAAACAGAACTTTTGAACTTATTAATGTAAAAAAAAACTTCATTTAAATATATTGATTTTCCACGGAGATACAAATGGTGATACGGGACTCTGGGACATAAGTACTGAAATATGAAGGTGTATAATTTTATTTTTTTGTTTAATTGAATTCATATAATTTATTTAAGGAGACAAAGAACATCTGGATTTGAATCTGAATATTGTGGCTTACCTCGAATATCATTTCAACCTCAAATAAAAAGAGGAAGTCCTAATTGATCAGATGATTAGGAATCAATAATTTTCAGCCCTACATATAGAATATAAAATATGAAATAATAAATCAACAAAAATAATATGTTTTTCTTTATTTCTAAGTGTGTAATCAATAGATTATTTCCAATCATCTATAACCGAACACGTTTAAAAGAAAAAAAATATTTTTCTTAATTTCATTGAAATATTTCAAGAAGAGTGAAATTTTCGATTTAAAATTCAGAACCCTATCCGTAACTATAGGTACAATCCATTAAACAGTCATTGCTGTGATACAATACATTATGTTGTACTTACATCTGGATGCTTAATTAATAAATAATGATGAAATAAAAAAAAGTTTTAGTTTTAATTATTTGTTTAGATAATTATACTTATAAGTTATGAATTATAATCACTAAATGTTTCAGATATTTTAAATAAATTGTTTATAATAAGGTCATCTTAAAAATTGCATTTTATTCTTTATGCTTATCATCATGCCATCTGATTGAATTCACAGATATCAGTATTGTTATAATATTTATATTATGGACTTTTATACTTTAACAGCTATAGTATATATTTAAAGTGCATTTTAATAACATTCTATTTATATTAGAAGTATAATAATAGTAATAGTAGTAATAATAATAACCCCCCCCCCCCCGAAATTTCTCCGAGGCCTAGTATAATATTAACGATTTTTACAAATATGAAAAAAAATTGGTCTTTAATTTACTGCTTTAATTATAAGTTATAAGAGTATCTATAATAATATTATATATTATAATAGGTACTGCAGCACTTGATAACATGATCATTGATCTCGATTAAAAATGTTGTCTTAGAACTTTATTAAAATTATATTTTTACATTCGTCATAATTATCACGGCCATAGCCTGCATATTACAGATATTCTTATCTATATCGATGCTTATCTATGAAGCAAAAGTACCTCCAAAAACCTATCACATATCTACTATTATTTAGTAATTAGTATACCTATTTAGTTTGCAATTTTCAATCTAAGAACGTGAGGTACCTGCGACCTGCCAGTATTTGTTTTATATTATATAACAGGGGTCTCCAAACTACGGCCCGCGGGCCGGATGCGGCCCGCGAACAAGTTTTAACCGGCCCGTGGCCCGCATATAGGACGCATAGGTAAATAAAGATAAAAAAATTATTTTAATAATGTATTTATATTATATTATATTTATACCTATTATTTTTATTTAAGTATATTGTAAAGTAAACAATATTCTATACAAAAATATAAAGTAAATATATTATTTATATAGGTACCTATATTATCATAAAGTTAAAAATTATATGTTTTAATAAACGTTTGGCCCGCTAAGAGCATTTGATTTTTTTTGTGGCCCTTGAATAAAAAAGTTTGGAGACCCCTGTTATATAATATTACATTAGGTACTTATTTTTGTTTTTATTTCAAATGGCCAAACGTGACGGAACAATTATTTCTTTTTTCTCGAAGAAGAGTAAACTTGATGAAACAGTATGTATCTATCTATAAGTATAAAAATTATTAAATTACAAGTTTTGGATAATTTTTATGAAAATATTAAACTATTTACTAAATTGACTACCCCAATGAAGATCATAAGCATCAATAACAATAAATTAAATTGTTGAATTCTGAATTATTTAGTCGAATAGACCTCAAAATGATGTTCATGTTCATGGTCCACATAGTTACACAAACACAAAATATTGAAGTACCTAAAGATGAATTACCTGGATCTAGTTCTATTATCAATATAAATAAGCATTCAGTAAGGTTTTAATATTTATTTTTTATATTATAATGTATTCAGGTACCTATCTATACCTAATAAATAATAATATATAAAATTGTATATATTTTATAATATAAAATTTACTATTATTATATAATATTATTAATGATAATATAGCGTTATGGATGTCACCAAAATAAATTTACCTACCACTACCATACAGATAAAAGACAATAATAAATAATATTCATATATATAATTTATTTTACCAAAGCTAAAGCTCATTACGTATTATCTCAATTATTTTAACGCATATTTGCTTCAGTAGTCTTGTTAAGTAGGTACTTGAACAAAAGGTAAAAGTATTTAAATACTTGTTATGTACTAAAATGTAATTTTAATATATTATGCTTTAAATTTATAATATTATTAGATAAAAACTATTTTTTTTAAATTTTTTTTTGTTAACTATTTTTAATTATATTGACCTTTATAAACTATTTGTAATAAATTACAAAAAATATAATTGATATTTATACTATAATAATATAATGTTAGATATACTTTTTTTATACAACATTTTGCTATATATTTGCTTGGGCTATACAATATTAATCTCTATAGTAAATTATTAATAGAATAACCCCCCCCCCCCCCCCCCCCCGAAAAAAAATCCCGTGTGCGGCACTCAGAGCGTTGGTGGTGGGTAAACATTGTGTAATATACAATATTAAGACTTTAAATAAAACACGAGACAACTAATGACAACGGACCATAATATGGAATGTGGGTGGTCCGATATGCATAAATACATACACATTAGATACATATATACATTATACGCACTCCTTTTACAAACACGCAGTCTATATACAACACATAAATAATATTCAATACCTCTCCGATCAGACGTTTAGTGGAGACAGCACAATCAAATATCAGCGGCGCCAGTAAACACCGTATATTATAAAATCATGAACACATTCTTTCATATATATACGTACATCACACGTATACTTCAAGACCCCTTCGATAATTCTCCGATCAAGACGTTTGGTCAAAACAAAACCATAAATTACCAGCTGTACCTTTGTCGCACCGCACGAAATAAGAAAATATATCAATACTTTAATATCGCGTATTAATCGAGGCACAAGAAGAAGGGATCAACCAAAATCATATTATATAAGGACCACAGAGAATCGACTCACCGACAGTACCTTTCAGGAGAAGACTCATGCACAACGTCCACGCTAGTCAACATCACGACTCTCTTCCATTACTGTCCAAAGGAGTGCTCATTACTGTGTGTATATGCGTATACAATATATGTATATTGGATCATTTCAGCATTCGGTATGTCTGTCTAAATTGGTTATCTCGTGTTTTATTTTAAGTCTTAATATTGTATATTACAATTGGTAATAAATAATAATAATAAAATCTTAATACGAAAATAAACATATTATAATCTAACATAGGTTTTATCAGTACTGATTATAGATATTCAAAATATTTCATAATGTTGTTTGTAATATTATGTTACTCTATAAGAACAGTCAGCTTGTTGTAAAACGTTTTTTTACTTTGCAAACATTGATATATTATCTGAAACATATTAAATTCTAAGTCGTTGCTAAGATGTTTGGAAATATTTTTATTTAGACGATATATTATTATATTATTGAATATCCGAGAGGCACTGCTAGGCGTGACTAGGCCCTGGGCTAGTGCCCCGTTTACTTGCCATCGGAACGGCACTGATATATATATATATATATATATGTATATATTTTTATATTATGTTAATGATATTATTATTTTCATAACGAAATAATAATATTATATTATTTTATCGATTCTTTTAAAATAATATTATAAGTGTATTGTAAATAAGACGATACTATATTGTTTTATAAATAATCATACGTTACTAATGAATTAATAATAATATAGTATTATTTTCTCGATTCTTTTAAAATAATATTATAAGTGTAATGAAAATAAAACGATACTATATTGTTTTTTTTAATAATAATAATAATTTCATAATTAAATAATAATAATATAATATGATTTTTTTCATTTCTAAAATAATTTATGCAATGTAAAATTAATAAAATAGTACTATTTTTTTAATAGTTTAAAAACAATGTCAAAATGTCAAATGTCAAAAAAAATAATTAATATTATTATAATTATATTATTTTAAATGTAATGAATTAATAATAATTTAGTATTATTATCATAACATTTTTGCTATTTGGGTACTGAAAAATTAATCACATAAAGTACCAATACCATAAAATAACTTATACATTATTGAGTTGTTAATATATTTTAAATTTCGGTTTAATAAATAAATGTTGACGACTATATAGGTAGATATTAGTTATTTATTATATAAAAAATATAAATATGCGTTAAAATATTATAGTTATATAGAGGTAATACAATGATGAATTAAAAACCAAAACCATGAAATAACTTATACATTATTGAGTAATTAATATATTTTAAATTTCGGTTTAATAAATATATGCTAACGACTATAAAGGTAAATATTAGTTATTTACTATGGAAAAAATATAAAAATGCGTTAAAATATTATAGTTATATAGAGGTAGGACAATGATGAATTAAAAACCTACAGTAAAGGCATTAAAAAGTTACCATTAATGCTACAAAAAATAGCATTTTAAGCATGAAAATTCTACAAGAAAATAACTTTAAATTGTAAAAGTTCAGCTGATAATAAATTTTTAAATCGAAAAATACCTTATTAATTAAGACATTTTTATATGTTCAAATAAATTAATTCTTTGATCACCTAAATAGTAAATACAGTTTAATATCTATGCAAAATAATAAATTTAAAACTATTTTATTACATTTTAGGTACCTTTTTCTTATATAATTGTTTATAATATCATATTTATTTATTTTTTATATTTTTTATTTACGAAAACACGAAATATATCTGTCGTCATTTTACATTAAATTGATGTTTAATTTATGATTGAATTGTTCTAAAAATTTCGAAGATGCAAACAATTAACAAAAACTAAATAAAAAAGCTAAAAAACTGATACAAAAGTATACTACTATATATCTATGATAGTATCAGGGTTTGTTGTTGGTGTATAACGCGTTATAAGTACCTAATAGATATTGTGATATGATTAATTTGGAATTCATTATAGGTCAATTTTTTTTAATACCATAGATAAGTATATAATATGTCTTATACCTAGAAGGAC